TAAGATAAAATAGCTTTATGGAAGCCCGTTTCCGCTACATGAAAGTAAAAAAAAAAAACATAATTGAAAGTTATAATTATGAGATTCAAAGTCATAATAATGACCTCAAAAGTCAAAATTATGACTTTGAATTATGACTTTCTATTTGGCATTTTTGTTATTTCATGGGCCGGAAACAGGCTTATATTAAATATAGCTTAGCCTTGTACCATGAAAGGTACCAATATTATTGTAGTGTTAATAAAATATATGGAAGTTTAGGCTTAATTATGTCCAAATAAATTAAGGTGTAATCTGCATATGAGAGGTTCCTGTGTTAAAAGAACAATAAGTACGCATACAGGCTACTGCCTACCTCCTTCCTTACTGCCAGTACTATTCGATCAGAATGTACCATGGGTAACGCTGAGGAACATCCGGTTTCCATAAAGAATTCTTACCAATTTGCAGTATGTGGATTGATCCTTATTCTCTGTTTATATCAAACGTGAATTAAGCAGCAAAAAAGTGTCTGCTGCAGCACTTTTGATGCTTGTACACATTAAGGTCAAGTAAAGTGTGTACAGATTAATCTAATGCTTTTGCTGCTCCTTTAGTGACAAGCACAGGCCTTGTCACTAAATGAACAAAAATATATACTTCATTTTTGCACTTTGTGATACATGAAATGTACAAACCTTTTTTTTGCCTTGGGTTTTAAAATGGAGAGCTTCAGCTGTTTGTTTTTGTTGTTCTGATTTGGAAGACTGTTGTTGGGTTCAACATGTAGGTTTGTAAAAGAAGAACTGAAATACACAGTAAGGGATTTTCAAACACAGCTTCCTGCAGGAGGAGAGACAGCTGCACCCAAGACTCAAACACGCTGTTTCTCACCGGACCTCCTCTGCAGAGCACTTTATTAACAGAACATGACACATGGTTACAAACAGAGTATTGTTCTGACAGGACAGTTGATCAGGTCATAAGACAAGATGCTCTACTGGGCAGAGCTCTCCTCTTGACTGAATCACAAGATAGAGTGGTCTCCTGATTGAATCATAAGACAGAGTGAAGCATCTCATTTCTACAATGTTTCATATGAACACACATTAATTTTATAATCATCATTGAATGAACCTAACAGCTGTAGTCCCAGTTTGACAAGTAACATCCACATGGATATCCAACACATAATGGGGCTGAAAGAGCAGGAGCTTGGAGCTACAAGCTGCTGTGTTTGGACTGAGGGCTTGTCCTTCTTTGGTGAATTATTTTGAAAATCTGGAAGCTTTAATTATTCAATTTTCTGTTGGTGATATGATTTCTTATTGGACTGGCGTCTGTTCCTTACTTTCTTTAATAAATATAATTTTCTAGCTTTGCATCACCTCAGAAAATTAAGTAAAACACCTTACTCAGAAATTCCACTTAGAAAAAGTACTGCAAACACAAAGCTTTTTTAACGACACTCTTGAAATGAAAATGGATTTAGAAAATAAATTTAGATTCACAGCAAAGGTTACAGCTGTTGCCTCACAGCAAATGGAGATTAGATCCCATCTCGGCACGTTCTGTGCAAACTTTACCAATTCCTCCCTAGAATGTGTTTATTTCTTTGTCCTGATCTTTAAATCATAAGCCTTAGATGCAGAGGTGTCAACGTTATTAATGTTTATTAAGTCAATAAAATCCTACTCTTTAAAAAACAATTTTGTAGAAACTAGAGTATCAACTTCAGCTTTTAACTCAAGTAAAACCAAACGGACCATTTTTAAAGCTGCTTAACGTATGAAAGTAAAAGTAATGCAAGGATAATGTTAAGGACAGATGCTTTAATGCTCTAGCTTATTAAATGAACATTTTTCTATTTGTCTTAGTATTATAACTAATGGCAAAAGTATAAAATTAAATTTTTCATCATCTTGAAAAGTGATTTATTTAGGTATGTAGGGAACAACAAGTTGGTGCAGTACCGAGTCCAACTACAAAGAGATTAATTGTCTGGATGCAACAAATTATTTTGATGGTTTTTATATTTTTTAAATACCAACAAGACATAACGAAAATGAGCCCAAAGGAAACAAAACTAATGAGTCTGTTTTTAAAATGTAAGGAGTAGAGAGTAGAGCTAATTGCAAAAAAAAATGTAAGGAGCAGAAGTAAAAAGTTGCCTTAAAAACAATTACTCCAATAAAGTATAGATAGGCAAAATTTATACTTAAGTAACAAAGTATTTGAACTTTGTTACTTGATAATTCTGTTTAGATGTTGGTGTTGCGTAGTGTTGGACCTACTATGAGGTGTAGCCCTCCTTCTATTATCACAGAAACCTTTTGCCCTGCATTAAACTGGATTGATGGATGTATTCAGCATCTTGTTCTAGCCAATAAAAATACGAATCTCTGTTTCCCGAGTCAGAATTTTAAGTCCAGACACTCAAACCTAAGACCTTGTTTTTCATTGTGGGACTTACTGGAGTTAGTGTGTTTTACAGAAAATGCATTTGTAACATTTGTAGAAACACTTTTTATTTTATTTTTATAGCACATTTCAGTAACAAGACAATTAAAAGTTAAGTACATGAACTGACAGTTAAAGAAAGAAAAAAGTACATTGCTGAAGCATCACAATGACAGGTAAAGGGAAGTTGGACAACAAACTGAATCTAATGATGTGCTAGTTTACAGTATAAAACTCTTCAGTACACAAAGTTTAGTTCAACAAAATCAATTATTCATTTTTTTCCATTGTGGATATCAATCCCAGAGACAATTAGTTGACAGTGCTGTAAGGATGTTTGTGAGTTGGATAGCATATAGCTTGCCACCATTAGTGTGTGTGTGAATGACTGAATGTAGTGTAGAGCGTTCAAATCTCCTGACCTACAAAAGCACTATATAAGTACAGACCAATCCTCTGAAAGAACAGAATATTTGGTGATGATCTGCATTTTGAAGCGACATGTTTGAGACAAAAGTTGCTGATGAATCTGAAAGATGTCATGTTGGCACCACTCCCATGAAACAAAGACAGGAAGAAGTAATACAACAAGAATCAGCAATCCTTCAGAGTTTGGACCAGAATACAATATTCCTCATTCTAGTTGTAGGGGATTGTCATTGTTTTGGTTCTGTTTTAATTTTATCTTTGAGTTTTCATTTGGCTTTATTTCAATTTTGTGTTATTCGTGTTATTTGATGGTATTTTAGTTCTTGGGTATTTCTTGTTTGCCCTCTGTTGCCCTCCTATGTCAGTATCATTTTAATTTGCCCCCTTCTTCACAACTGCTCCCAATCTGCTGATTAGCCTGGTCTTTATTTCTCTCTCACATATACAGGTGCTGGTCATAAAATTAGAATATCATGAAAAAGTAGATTGATTTCAGTAATTCCATTTAAAAAGTGAAACTTGTATATTATATTCATACATTACATACAAACTCATATATTTCAGATGTTTATTTTGTTTAATTTTGATGATTACAAATGACAACAAATGAAAATCTCAAATTCATCATATCAGAAAATTAGAATATTACTGAAGACCAATAAAAACAAAGGATTTATAGAAATGTTGGCCAACTGAAAAGTATGAACATGAAAAGTATGAGCATGTACAGGACTCAGTATTTAGTTGGGCCTCCTTTGGCCTGTATTACTGCAGCAATGCGGCGTGGCATGGAGTCGATCAGTCTGTGGCACTGCTCAGGTGTTATGATAGCCCAGGTTGCTCTAATAGTGGCTTTTAGCTCTTCTGAATTGTTGGGTCTGGTGTATTGCATCTTCTTCTTCACAATACCCCATAGATTTTCTATGGGGTTAAGGTCAGGAGAGTTTGCTGGCCAATTAAGAACAGGGATACCATGGTCCTTCAACCAGGTACTGGTAGATTTGGCACTGTGTGCAGGTGCCAAGTCCTGTTGGAAAATGAAATCTGCATCTCCAAAAAGTTGGTCAGCTGCAGGAAGCATGAAGTGCTCTAAAACTTCCTGGTATGTGGCTGCGTTGACCCTGGACCTCAGAAAACACAATGGACCAACACCAGCAGATGACATGGCACCCCAAACCATCACTGACTGTGGAAACTTTACACTGGACTTCAAGCAACGTGGATGAAGTGCCTCTCTTCTTTTCCTCCAGACTCTGGGACCTTGATTTCCAAAGGAAATGCAAAATTTACTTTCATCAGAGAACATGACTTTGGACCACTCACCAGCAGTCCAGTCCTGTTTCTCTTTAGCCCAGGCAAGACGCTTCTGACGCTGTCTGTGGTTCAAGAGTGGCTTGACACAAGGAATGCGACAGCAGAAACCCATGTCTTTCATACGTCTGTGTGTGGTGGTTCTTGAAGCACTCACTCCAGCTGCAGTCCACTCTTTGTGAATCTCCCCCACATTTTTGAATGGGTTTTGTTTCACAATCCTCTCCAGGGTGCGGTTATCTCTCTTGCTTGTACACTTTTTTCGACCACATCTTTTCCTTCCCTTCGCCTCTCTATTAATGTGCTTGGACACTGAGCTCTGTGAACAGCCAGCCTCTTTAGCGATGACCTTTTGTGTCTTGCCCTCCTTGTGCAAGGTGTCGATGGTCGTCTTTTGGACAACTGTCAAGTCAGCAGTCTTCCCCATGATTGTGTAGCCTATAGAACTAGACTGAAAGACCATTTAAAGGCTTTTGCAGGTGGTTTGAGTTAATTAGCTGATTAGAGTGTGGCACCAGGGGCCATCAATTTTGAACCTTTTCACAATATTCTAATTTTCTGATATGATGAATTTGAGATTTTCATTTGTTGTCATTTGTAATCATCAAAATTAAACAAAATAAACATCTGAAATATATGAGTTTGTATGTAATGTATGAATATAATATACAAGTTTCACTTTTTAAATGGAATTACTGAAATCAATCTACTTTTTCATGATATTCTAATTTTATGACCAGCACCTGTATGCACCTCCTGCTCGGTCACTGTTGCTGGTGATCCGTCATTTCATTGCCTTCAAGTGAGTTTTCCTTTTTTTCCTGCTTCTGTTGCCCTGGTTAATTAAATCTGCAAGTAACCACCTTCAGCTTCAGTGTCTGCATTTGGGTCCCGTCAAACCTGCACCATACTTGACAAAGATGTTTCTCCTTCCTTTACAATCTTTACCAGCAATTCAATTCATATAAAAAGCTCTAATAATGTTAAACATTTGGTTTTAGCTATGGAGAAAGACTGATTAAAATTAAATCTGATCATAAGAATAATACAGTATGTGAATAAGAAAATGGTCCCTCTGAGATATTAGTCCTTTGATCCTTGAAATGTTCTCCAGGTGATGATCACTCTAAAGGATCATGTCTGAATTCATCAGCACACCCAGACTTCAGGCCTGATCAGTGGTTTCCAGCTGAGATGACTACAAACATACACATAATGCCACGTCTTACTTCTATGCTTAAATCTGAAGAGGTAGGCTTTTGACTGTATGATCTGGTGAACTATAAAGTAACTTGAGAGGACATGTGTTTCAAATTGGCACTATATAAATGAACTGAATTGAATTGAATTAGGTTCTAGTTTAAATGATCCAAACCAGGTAATATGACCTCCTTGACAGTTAGAGGTAGATGTGTTGAAATAAACTCATACAAAGGCACCTGAACAGAGGATGTGATCATAACCTGTTCTCTTATAATGTGAAAAAAAAAATCACAGTTTTAAGATTTGAATATTCCTAATATTTTTAGCTAGAGAATATAGTTTTCCTGCTGTCGATGTCGTCTGGATCGAATATTACGGAGCAGCACATTTAGGTTCCATGGATTTCCTAAACAGTAAAGGTTAAATTTTAATTTTTTAATCAAAGAAACAGCATACAACAATAAAGATAAACAACATGATTCCTTACCAGAACTTTCCTCATCCCTCTCTACGTTTGCAGGGTCCTCTTTGAGCTCAACGCCAAGATCTGATCGCCATTTTTTCCAGTTCATTACAGTCACTCTAAAGGAAATAAGTTATTATTGTGTTACGGTTGATGAAAATGTTAAGGCTTTAAACATTAGATCAAAACCCATGAGGTTATACAAGTTTTCACTTTTTCAATTCAATAAACAATTCTTCACACTATCTGGTTGGTGTCCAAACTTTCAAAACCTTAAAATACAGAGGAGCAGTAGCTGAAAATTAACTCATATCCTTTTGTTGTGAGTTGGCACAGATCATAAAAAAAAAAAAAATATAAAATAAAAAAAATAGTGGACTCCTGCCGAAAAGATAAGCATGGTATGTAGGTTCAAAAAAAGGTCTTGGATATTTCCCGTAATAAAAAGGTATAATATACTTTTTGGATCATATTCTTCTATACTGTTGATTTAGAACATTTAGTTGTCTTTGCAGCACAAAATTGCTAAATTTGCATCTTTTAGCCAAATGTAATTAATGGTTGTGCCCACATCCATTTTTTTTCTTTTAAGAAAAAACAGCAATTTTTTTTTTTTTTTTACCAACATCAAAATGTAAGCACATGCCCATGGTAGATAGATTATATATCATAAATATGAATGGTCATAACAGAGCACTTCACTGTTAATCTGCAGGTTTACTAGTGGTTCCTAGAATTTCTAAAAGTAAAATGGGAGGCAGATCTTTTAGTTATCAGGCTCCTCTCCTGTGGAACCAACTACCAGTTTTAGTCCGTGAGGCAGACAACCTGTCTACTTTTTAGGGTAGGCATAACACTTTCCTTTTTGATGAAGCTTATAGTTAGAGTGGCTCAGGTTATCCTGAGCTATCTCTATAGTTATGCTGCTATAGGCTTAGACTTCTGGAGGACATAGGGATCCCTATTTCATCATTCTGCTTCATTCTATCTCTATTCTTCCACTCTGCAGAATCTGTTAGTTCAATCTCTAATGTTTTTCTCTCTCTGCCTTTTCTCATAGTAGCATTATCTAGTCTGCTTCTGTTTGGCTGTGACTGCATCCTTGAGAGAAATATCAGCTGTGCTGCTGCCATCAACACCTTTGTTTATAGATGTTGGAGATCAGCCTGTTTTCCAGTGTAGTCCTCTTTCTCTGACTGACTGGCTGGATGTGCTCTCTTCATCCTCTGACATGGGAGCTGACATGGGAGCTCGTCTGCCTGGCTGTGTGTTTCATGGACGGGGCCGCCTTTTACAATTGATTTTTGTATCTTTGCTTCTGTCTCCTTGAACCCCAGTCAGTCTCGGCAGATGGCCGCTCACACTGAGCCTAGTTCTGCTGGAGGTTTCTTCCAGTTAAAAGTAGTGTTGCACCGATACCAGTATCGGACGGGGCCCCGATACTGCCCTAAAATGGTGGTATCGGCGAGTACCAACAAATAGGGCACAGATACCATTTTGAGAGCCATAAGTTTATTCAACTATTGTCACCCACTCCTGGTAGGCAATAAAAACGTTTTATTTTTATTATCCAGTAGAACTTTTTATTAAAAAGTTCTACTGGATACACTTTGTATTAGATTTTTTCCTGCTTCACAAAGGTAGGCAGCAGCTTGACAAAGCCATGATGGCAATTATTTTACATTATTATGGTATCGGTATCCGCCGATACTGCACAGCCAGGTATCGGGTATCGGTATCGAGGCCAAAAAATGGCATCGGCGCAACACTAGTTAAAAGGGAGTTTTCCCTCTCCACTTCGAGTCAATGATTCAATGCAATCAATAGTAGATAGAAAACTCTGAATCATTTTGACTGTATGATCTAGTGAACTGTGAAGTGCCTTGAGATGACGTATTGGGAATTGGCACTATTTAAATAAACTGAATTAAATAGAATAAAACAGGTCCATCAAAATTCACCTGACAAATCTACGAGACTTGCCCTCGTCGCTTTTGAAGCACACCATGTCTGAATCTCTGGAGTGCAGCTTTGACCTCAGCCACCGTGGCAGAGTCCTCTCCATCTCCAAAATGGTAAAAGCTCTCTGGAAAAGGCAGCAAAACATTTCTGCAACTACTTCAAACACATCTTAATTTGCATTTATATATGTATATTTTTTGCTTTGTTTGAATGATCACAGTGTCCTAAAATGTGCATTTCTCATGTTGCAGTTTTAAGCATGCTGTAGCATTCACAGCACTAGGCGATAAACTGCAACCTAAATTTAATCTTTTTAAACATTTGTCAAAGTAAACCTTCTCACCTGCAGGTTCCAGATGGGTTCACTTTGTTCTGAAGTTCTCTCCACTGTGTTGCCCATCAGAGCGATGAGCATGTTTAGCATCAGAATATAAGTGAGGACGATATAGCAGATGAGAAGGATGTAGAAAACTTCTTTGTACTGAACGTGGTCAGTGAATTCTAGATCCCCCATTCCAATTGTGAATTTGAACAGTTCCAGTGTGGTAAAGCGGATATCATTATAAGTCGGTTTCTCGCATGTGCTTGTTTCAACATTGAAGGTCCTTCCTCTGGGAAATGTTCCATTGCTTTGTTCAGTTGAGTCATCAATCAGGGTACAAACAGCTGCAAAATGAAGAGACGTGCAAGTTAGAAGTGGCGACAGACAGAATCCCAGAGTATTTTGAATTTCTCGTATTTAGAAATATTACCGGCAGAAAATCCAAAGAGCAGGACAATGTAGACGCATAAAAAGTGTAGAAGGTCACCCAGGATCATCTAAACATGAACAAATTGTCATCAAGGAAGATAGGATCTCACCAAACAGTTGTTACTGTACCTGGTGCTAAATTCTTACCCTTTGCATCATGACGTTGTAGATCCCCAGCTGCTTCGAACCCCTTGTGTAATACAAAACATTAATCCAGGCAAGAGCTAAAGACAGTACAAGGAGTCCAACGTATTCCCTCCGTCCACAGCAGTACAAGATTGCACAGACCAGAAGGAGGATTGCCTGCAGGAAACTGCAAACATGAAGGTGCGGTAAGAAGGTAGATATTTTACAGGTGTCCTAAGTGGACTAAAAGTTGTAAAAACACAGGAACCAACGACAGACATTGAGGTTAATCACACTGCTAAGCGGAATTGTCAATGGAAATCGTGTGTCAAGGTAAGGAAGCTAGTATTTTTATGAATTTTTTGAGATTATGGAGGCTGGCTGTAAGGAGATGACACAGTCTGCTCATGCAGTCTTTGTTATCTGAGAACTGAGCCACATCTGAACTGCGCAGAGCCCTACTGATGAACTAGTACCAGTTCAGCGTGGTTCGGTAGTGTCTTGCACTGTCCGCTTCAGTCTTTGCTTGCCATTTAAACTCAAAAGTTATCTCGGTTACGGTGCTTGGACAGTTTTAAAAAAAGTTGTGTAAATGGCGCTTATGTTGATATCCAGGCCTTCAGAACAGACACCAGAAAAGAAACAGCCTTTTTTATCAACTTGTTTACTGGCTGTTATCTATCTTATCAAAACCTGCTTATAAATCAAGATTGGATTGAAATATCAAAGTGTTATTAAGGAGGCAGACTTATGCTGAGACACCTACCGTGTTGCATAATTACCTAACTCATAATTGCCTAACTCAGTAAGAGAGCACAAAGACTGCTCTACCTAAAATCAGAATGCTAGATGTAGATAAGGAAAGAAGTGAGAATAGCAAAGGCCTAGACACAACCGGGATAGCAGAGAGAGTAGAAACACAGCAACAGTGATGGCATGTTTATAAACCAAGGCATAGAGGGCTTCTAATATTATGAATTGTTGTCCGTGCAGGGAACAGCTTGGATTTTTTAATAGGAAATACCAGTGGTTGTGTGACCACTACCTAAAAGGACCCCTCTCTCAGCACCAACACCTGATAGTCCAGGATGATGCTGATGGACATGAGACATGAGAGAAGTCCAAGATGAACAGGATAGCATCTATGAACACTCCTCTGGGTCTTATTCAGCCCAGTCTCTGGCTTCATGAGTCCAGAAGTCATGGCACTAAAGGTGGGTCCCAATCAATTATCCTGGATGGAGCATGGTGGATGTGCTACTTGGCATGATATCATCCTTGAGCTGTGAACCTTCATAGACCAAGATGGCTATCATGGAAGGCAGAAGGCTCAACCAATAGGCAACAGGATTTGTTCTGGCAACAATCTCCAACCGGCAAAAGCTGTGAATGGTATTTCTGTACTCTTTTAATAGCTTCAGGTGTTCTGTTGAGAGACAGACCATGTCCTCTGATTGAAATGATGGTCGAGGGTTTAGGTATTAATGTTTTTTAACATATTAGGCCTTTGAGCAGTATATGTCAAAGCGAGCCTTTATCCAAACCAGCCAACATTGATGGACAAACAGTTGTGCCTTAACTATGTTAGCCTCTGTCTACTGGCGGACCTATATATATATATATATATATATATATATATATATATATATATATATATATATATATATATATATATATATATATATATATATATATATATATATATATATATATATATATATATATATATATATATAATGTATAACGTGGAGGTTAAAGCAAAAGCAGACTGTTGATCGTTGTGAAAAAAACCCAAAACAGCAGAAAACCTCTCAGATTATTTGTCTCTTTTTGTCTGCTGGTAATAACCATGTGTTGGGCTAAAGGAGGCTTCCAGAACCTCTCCCTAGAGAGAAAACATATTTTGGTAAACCATGAAGCTTAATATTTCCTAAACAACTTTGTCTGGACTATTGATGAAAAAAGAGCAATCTTAAATCCATCAGGATTAACAGGGACTGCCTTAGAGAGCTGATCCATGTTAGGAAAGGATCCACATCAAGCATCCATCCTAGCATTTTTGAAACTGGGATGATAGGCAAGAGGAATATTTCAGCTCCAAAACTATATCCCCAAAAACCAATCTAGGGTTCTGTTGTTTTGTGGTTTGGATGTGTTTCTGAGAGTTGTTTCATATAAGGTTGAGTTATTTTGCCAGTGATGCCGCTTCTCCAGGAATCGGTTGATAGCCAGCTTCTTCACCTTACAGACATGGTATCTCTGAAGATGTTGTGAGAACTTCCTTTGAATCAGCAGCATAGGTGAAGTTTCCTCACTTAACCTTGTTGAGAGAGTATAGCCCATTTGGAAACATTAAACACCACTAATAAGCTTTAGCAAGATCGGGATGAAGTAAGACAGGTGCAGTGGTAAGCAAGTAAACATGGCCTCCAAAGATAATCTAGGGCTTAGTGTGGTTAGCAGGCTTGGTGACTCCAGGGCAACAACAGTGCTAAACTCTGAAATAATGCGCTGAAAGAAATTATGACATTTCAAAAAGTTTTGCAGCTTATAGAGGCAAGTCGGTTGAGGTAAATGAGTCACCAACTGACCTTTCTGTAGATTTATGGCTTTTTTGAAAGAGATTGTAAAAGCAAGGAAGGTGGTGGAGTGCTGTTGGAAATCACATTCACCTTGTTTACAAAATAACTGGTGCATGAGAGATTTCCCTAATGTAAATGATGTAGTTGTCATTCCACTTCCACTCTGATGCTTGGGGGAAAAAAAAAAATTCTCCAACTATTTAGCAATTTGCTGACAATATTTTCAGGCTAGTGGCTTAGTACTGAAGAACATGGCATGCCATTCCATGGCATGGCTGAATAGAAGGGCCTTAACACTGCAAATGGGTTAACACATAAGGGAGTTATTTAGTAGGATGACAAGAAAAAAAGGATGCTGACTGGCAAGGAGAATATTCAAATGAATGTTGACAAAAAAAAAAAAAAAAATTAGCTAATTGAAGTTAACTCCACTAGGTCTATATTACGCTTAGACACCCTTTCTTTGAGAAGCGAGATCAAGGACACTGAGACAGAACCTCTTGTGTAGCGGACTGGCTACAGATCACAGTTTGCTGCAGCTAAAATCCGAAGGGCAAAACAAAAGGAAAGGAGCTTGTCTAACAGAAGGAGTGGATAAGAAACTGGGATGGAGAAAAATAAATGTATAACACTGACTAAGATGGTAAGACAATCAGAGTGTAGCTTGTGGCATAAGGGAATAAGGTGTAATTGAAGTATTAGCAGGTGTTGCTTCATTTTGAGGCCAATCCCTAAGGTCACATGACCACAACCCGAGTCCAAGCTTTCTTAGTAAATACAGTTTTCTTACTTAGGTGTTTGTTTTTCCTGCACACGGTTTGAGGAAAACTTCAAAAAGTTTTTTTTATTGCTTTACTTTAAATTTATAGAAGTCAGTTTTGTGAAACACATGACTACAAGCTTTGTTGATTAATGATTGCTTTCCTGTCTGTTTGGGTTTATGGCTATGTATTATAGCCAGGAGGTTTCCTAGCTTCAGATAGTGGATTGAGCAGAGCTCTATGACATGTTTAAAGCTCTGGATTTTGTTTCAGAACCAACTGTAATCCTGTTTTAAACTTCTACTTAAAAATTTGCTTGGTCAGTTTTTTTTTTTTTTGTGGCTGTCTATTCTTTAATATCTATAAATATTGTCAGAAAAAGAAAACAGCTATATCTATACTCAGATTAAATGACAAACAATTAGGTAGGGTAGGTATGTACTTCTAAAGTGAGTTGTTTACAAAGGTTGTTTTTTAAAGGGAACAAAGGAATATTGATACTCACAATAGAAATTCACTGTATCCATCAGTAAAGAGAGCCCTTATTCTTGGAGGGTTCCTCTTGAAAATAGTTATCTAAAGATTATAAAATAAGATATATTATTTAAGGTAAAATATTCCGTCTTATAAGACATTTGAAGTTTTTTTTAAATTTCCTTACAGTTTTATAGAGAAACCTTACTGCTCCAAGGACACTGATGAGCTCACCAATACAACGGAGGTGGTCAACTGGGTTGTTTTCCACTGGGAAGGGTGGCTGTGGGTAAACCAGTTTTTTAACTTAATAATGGGAACACATTCATCCTCTACAACAGTTCAGTGGACGATTGCCTTTTTCCTTTTTCTGCCTTACCTTTCCGTCTTTTCTGTAGAAGGCCACTGTGGTGAAAATGGCCAGATACATTGAATAAAATATGAAGTTCATCAAAAATAACTTGGAAGCAAATCTATTCCATTTATCCTGAAGAAGACTGCGTAGAGGTTCGATCCTCAGCATTTCTGTGCGTTTCTGAAACAAAACTTCACAAGTCAGGCTTTACATTTACAATTAATGGCTCTCCCTCAGTTGCTTTTTAATTCCAACGTGTAAGATTTTCCTGTCAGCCTTTTACTCATCAGTTTGCATGATTCTTTATCTATAAAGACCAAACTTTTCTTTTTCCTTAGTTAAAAGTTAAACAGAAACAAGCTTTAGTTAGTACAGCCAAGGTAAAAAAAAAACTGAAGCTGATTTCATCATGTCAAGCACTTTGAATTGTCTTGTTGCTAAAAATGTGCAAACTAGAGGACTGGTTAAGAGCATATGCCCTGGTCAAATGCTTGCACTGATAGTGATCTCAGTATGCTGCCCGTTCATGGTTTCATGACACCACACCTGTGTGAATCATCTTATGACAACGCATGACAACAGTGTAATATGTGGTTAGGAGATAATGGCCATTTTGCTACTTTTTGCAATTGGCACTGTATGAGTAGCAACACACAGCTGGATTTGTGGTCTGCTTGATTTCAGTGTTACTAAATGCCATTTCAACATAAATTATATAGCTAAGATCTCTTGCTTTACTGGCTTTTCTTTTCTTAATGGAGCTGGATCTTTTAATCACTGCATGGACTTTGGTTTTCATGAATGGGACATTGTTGGAACTGGACTACCTGCAGATGGACGGAGCTCAATATTCTCTTGTATTGTTACACCTGTATGGTCTGGGCATTGCAATAATTTTTTGCTAAAATCCTCAGGTAATATGGAAGCATTATTCATACCACTTGGCATATTAGAAAAATATGAAATACTGAAATGGGGAAGAAGGGGTTGCGTCAGTCAGAGATTCCCACTCACTGCCACTCCACCCCCTACCTTTTACTTAATTGTTGCTGTGCAAAATTCAATCTCTACCAAACAAAATGGATAGAATGCAAGCCAGTTACTCATCTGGAAAATTTAAGAGACTTGTGTAAAGTTGTTTTAGCGAAACAGGGCTAACTCCTGGGAATCAACTTAATCTACTTTGATCAACAGTGGTGCAAGTACATCACTTTTAGAGAGACCAAGTGTCTGTTTTTCCTTAAGATAATATCTGTGACTTTGCACCCTTTATATTTTCCCTGTAAATTTCCCCAAATACTTCTTAACATGGTAAACTTCAATCTAAATTTCATATTTTCCATTTAGCAAAATCAACTCAGTCTGACTCCCAACTCATCAATATTGACACTTTGTCAAACCCCTGTCGTGTCAGATACTGATGTAGTAGCACTTCTTTCGTCCTTTTTTTGACACACAAGGTGCATGACAGCTTGTGGCAGGAACATGTAAAAATTTTCTATGAGGTTACAATGTTTTTAAAAATCTATTGCAGGTAAAGTGAATGTCACATGATACAATGTTTGCAATCTGTCATTTACCCTGGGCGTCAGTGTCAAGAATGTTACCCTCTTGACGTCACTATGTGACGCTCAAGGGGCTTTGACCAAGAGACAGTATTTGACGAATAGGGAGAGAGAGTGTGTTGGCAGGAAGCCCCCAGATTCTGAAAAAATAACATATGATTTGAAGAGATCTAACAGTCAAACAACGCTGTCCAGTTAAATGTTTGTGTAAAACTCTGAAGAAAGATAGAAAACCAGGAAGCATATAGACGGAGTGCATGTCAGGGGAAGCTAAAACTAGTTATCACAAGAGGATGACTTCTGACAAGAAGACAATTTTAATGTTGCCAAATTTTCCCACTAAAGGGGGGAGCACCTTGCTAAACCAACAGCAAAAGCTAATGCAAGTGCATCTGCTCACTAGAGTAAGAAAACATGGGCATGTCCACTCCCCTGAACAAATGCTGAATGAAACCCTAAAAAAGATACTCCAGCTTTGTTTGGAGCTGTTACGAATGACACAGCAGAATAAAATAGGAATATAGAGTTAAAATTATACTTAAAAATATGAAATATTTACAGGAACTTTGCTCCCAAAGATGATAATCTCCAGCACAGAGTTTTTTTCATTGGTGTCGATGGAACTCATGTCATAAAGAGAAGAGTGAACAGGTCCATAGACCCATTCTGTGAACTTTCTGGACAGTGGCCGTCTTTCCTCATCCATAAATTCTCTGTTTAATATGTGCTTAAAAAGCTGTCCAAAGAGAGAGCAAAATGGTGGGGATCACTACCAACAAGTTCTTGTTAAACACAATTATCTTTAAGAAGCAAACAGACTCACCCCAATCTTTCCGAGTTTGGCAGCTAGTTTCAGCGGTGTGAGACCTTTGTTGTTCTCAATCAATTCCAGCTGGACGTTGCTGTCTTTGTTGAGCTTGTAGTGCTGAACAAGGATTTTGTCATACATGTTTGCAACAAGTTCTGTGTTTTCTGTTGTGTCATCTGCTATCACCACCAGAGTGTGCAAAACAGTGTTTCCTTGTGAGTCTTTATCAGTCGGATCGGCTCTCCTATAAGGGTTTTCCATGAGAAATGAAACTATTTCTGGCTGATTGGTGCAGGCAGCCAAGGACAAAGGCAGCTCACCTGTGGGAAAACAAACTCTTGTTCTAATCAACAAGGACGTAATAAAACCAACTTGAATGAGCTCATAATAAAGTTTGGAAAGCAATTACTCGCCAAAATAAAATCCAAGCCTAGTGTTACGCTGAAAAAATTTTCCATTGGCTTTTGCTTGGACATCCGCTCCTCTCTGGACTAACAGCTTTACGTAATCAAAGCTCCTTCTTTCAATGGCAATATGCAAGGCTGTCTGACCTGTAGGTGGAGTTTGTCCAGAAAACAAAACTCTTTATCTTTAAGAGAAACACCCAAAACCACCTCAAGCATTGAGAATGTAACACTTAAATATATACTATTTAAATAATAATTATGTCATAGAAAAAGGGTGTTAAAAATCAGAGACGACTTGATTTAGTTTCTTACCCTTATAACTATTGTCTGTATACGCTGCGTTGATTAAACCTTTTAGTTCCTGGGTCTTGTCTGCTACGTCAATCAGGACTTCAATGGTGTTATTTTTCCCATCTTTCAGGTTCAGCAAAGCTTTCAAGAGTGCTGTTTTTCCATTTGATTTATCTGAAAAAATTTAAATAGATTAAAAAGATGTCCTTCGTTAAAATTCACATATATTATTTGATAGCAATCCTGAATTTCATTCAGAATATCTAACAGCCTGACAAACCAGAGATTAAATTGGTGAAGGAAGCATCTAAAGCTTCCAACTTGATTCTCAGTCCTACTGATAAGAAAATGTTCATAACTTCCACAGAGATTTTAGTAATACTGTAGTAAACAGCTAAATACTTTATTTTTAAACACTGTTATTCTGTGATAAAAAATGGAGCTCAGGCGAAGGTGAAACTGAATGAACTGATTACTCGCCTTCATCCACCTACCACACAGGCAATCAGCTTTGAAACACACTTCCACAAAAGCCAATCGGCATCCAAAGTTCATTTCAAAAGGCCTCCGATTCGCAACTCGTCTGCTACCCAGTGTGCAGGCGGTGGTTGCACCGTGTGACTTCATTCAGATGACCCCATTTCAACCCACCTCCAGCCCCTCTTCCACCATTGTAGCTAAAACTTCATCAGGGTTTCATTCCCCCTGGACTCTTACTGCATTCCGTGTCTCATTTCAACCAGTCCGGCAGAAGACCGCCATGTTGAGCCTGGTTCTGCCAGAGGTTTCATCCCAATGAGGAGTTTTTCCTCTCCACTGTTGCTTCATGCTTGCTGGACAGGTTCTCTCAACCTGTCTTGTCCATACTGGACTTCCATCTTCCAGGTCCCTGAGTGAAGCTCTGGTATAAGCTCACGCAGACCACTGGATCTCCCCATAAAGCTCAGCATACCATCTCGCTAACCAGCAGTCTACAGACTGACCAACTTCATCTATCTCCACTCCACCACCAGTTTCAGCCCTGGGGGGAAACACCCCTATTATTCACTCCTGTTCATGCATATCTATCAAAATTCAGCTCTATGTTTCCTGTCAAGGTCTGAGCGCCAAAGACTAAAGTAATTGTATCAATAAAATTCTTCTAATTGTCTTTTCTCTCCATGTGAGTTTTTTTAGATTGAAATGAAAAGCAAACATAAAATCACTTGTGGGATTCCTTAAGGTGATGTTCTCAGAATCCATTTACTCTATATCTTTGTGATCCCACTAGCTCAGGTTAGGGATTACCACATCTATTGTTGTATCTGTTGATTTACAAGTTGTCATCTCTGTATGGCTGCTTAACCATAGTCTACTGCAGGGTTTCTTTACTGTCCTTTGTGTTTTAGATGGGTCTGAAACACACCTGATTCAAACGATTGCATTATCTCCTCGGCAGCCATCAAATGCTGCAAAAGCCTGCTGAACACCTCTTCATTCAGGTCAGGTGAGTGGAGGCAGGGAAACACTGAGAGCATGTAGGACAGTGGGCCCTGAGGATAATCGTTGAGAAATCCAGGTCTACTACAGCCACTAAGCAGTATCAATAGAGGATCGGTCCAAAATCAGCTTCATGTGGAACTGTTTTATCCCAAAGTGTCGGGTAGTGACCATGTAACACACAGTGTGCTAACATAGGCTAGGACCTAGCACTGGGCATATTGATCAATCTATCGATAATATTGATAGAGAGGGCATCTGTATTGGTCAGATACTAGCATGATTAGTTTGATACCCAAACAATTCACCTTTAAGAGAACTTCATACATTCAAATCATGTAGAGGAAGAAGGAGGATGGGATCTGCTAGAGACTTTTCTACTGAAACTATCAGGAATATTCAATTAATCAATGTTCGTTCCTAGTCTAATGTGTGATCGTAAATGTAATTTTGTTTGAAATATTCAACTCCTAACTGTTTTACTGGAAGGAAAGGTATTTATCGTATTAAAATTCTGTCTATCCTATTTAGGTTGTATGCGAGGGGACAGTTGGAGACTAAATAATCTTAAAAATGTGTTGTTTTACCTAGAAAAAAATCAAAAAGCCATGGATAAAGGAATTATTTTAGCATGTATACACTGTTAAGTTATTTTATATTATTTTAGTTTGTTTAGTTAACAAAAAATAATTTGCCTGAAATGTATGTCATCAATTTTACCATAATCTTAATCAACTAACCAAAGGCAAAATCAGAATATTATTTATTGATCATATGTCAGATGAAGGTATCTGCATCTGTATCAATATTTCTAGACCCTGATTACTTGGTATTGGATTGTTACCTGTATTCCCAGTACTGCTGACTTCTACTAGGACTTATTTTGACATCCAAATAAAGTCTATCAATAAATTAAGCAACTATCAACTTAAACATTTTGCAAAATAAAATACTTTCAATCACAACAATATATATAAAAACCAGTGCCTGCTTGTTGTAATATTGTCTATAAAGTTCAATTAAAAGAAATAATAAACATCAATCAGCCAACAGTAAGTTCATTCAAAATTCTGCTATCAGAGTTCTGCTTTACATCATAAAGTAATAAAAAAAATATTCCTTAACCTCACTGCTGGCTCCCTGTTATTTTTTAAAGGATAATTTTAAATCTTGTTGATTATCTTCAAGACACTGAATTCTCCTGGACCTCAGTTTATTGCAGAGTTTCATGCACAAATTAGGTATAAACCATGAAAACACCAAAGGTCACCCGAGACCTCTTCCCTCAGGACCAGAAGTAAACAAGATGAGGATCATTTAGCTTCTATGTCTTTCAGCTCTGGAACAAACTGCTTAACAACCTGAGATCTGCAGAAACAGTTGGTTCCTCTAAAATAGGACTGAAAACATAACTGATTGTTCACATAATTATCAATAGCTTCACTTCTCATCTGGTTTGGTAATTCATTTTTTTCTCTTTGTCCTCTTTAATTTTGGGCATTTATATATTTGTTTATCGTTGCTAATGTAAAATACTGAAGATTTTTACAATGCCAATGAAAGTGCTGTTTAAATAGTATCTAATAGTATTTAAAATTTATCATAAGCCAGTCTCATATGTACATAATTTAAAGATGCAAGTGTCAGAAATAAACAACACATGAGTTATTTTCTCCATTTCTGCTTAAGGCAATATTTTCAAATAAAGAAATAAAATCAGCAAAAAGCAGCACAAGACGGCAGCTTGTAGGACTGATAAGGTTGCCTCCGCTCTACTTGCCTACAAAGTCTGGGCTGGTAAGTCGCTTATCATTAACTTGCAGGTAGTCAAGCAGGCCGATAAGCTGTGCAGCGTCCCCCTGAGATGCTGCTTTGAATACTTTGTCCCTTGTGAACGCCGTACCAAAGATGTTGTCAGAAGGGGCCTTAGGTCTGAAATGTGAAAATAAAAAAACAACAGTGATTAACAACTGTTAATATTTATAATCTGTCAACATTTCTATGAAGGAAAGCATTTTATATTGCTTTTAAAGAGCCAGATAGAGGTCAGAGAAAACAGACGGAATAAAGAGGACATTCAATGAGCTGACACCTGTTTACATGAAATATGAAACCATGAAGCTTATCTGACATTTCCCTGCTGGGTAAACTGTGAGATGGACCTGGAAACACCACTTATTTGTTGATATAATAATAACGTACCTTGATAGTAAAACATTGCTGTCCATCGGCACAGGACTAGTCTCTGAGTTGGAGTTTTCAAGAAGCCAATCAAGACCCCCTTTCTCATCCCCTGAGTCTGTTTCTGGCTTCTTTTTGTCCTTTTGGTCTTTTCCTCCATTACTCATTTTGAAAAACCAGTGTAGCAACAGAAACTGACGGCTATTTATATGCTAAAGCTCTCTTCAGACAGCAGGTAAAAGAGGCTCCAACTCCCCAGGTGTAGAGTTGCAAAAACAAATGGGAAGCACTGAGGTAGTGGATTTTTACAGCCTTGATGCTCCACCCTCTACATGTGAGCGCGTGTCTGTTCCAGCAGTTTTAACTTGTTGGGTAGAAAAGCCACAGGGAATGAAATTCTTTCATCAATAATGAAGCAATAATGAAATGAGTTTCCAATAAGCTAAACAGAAAAAAACAAAATCCTTCTTTAGAGTGCTTGAACTGCTTTTTTATTATTATTATTTTTTTTTTAGTTTTTACGGCTTGTTTTTATAGACAGTAGGCTGACATGAAAGGGGGTACGAGAGAGGGAGAGACATGCTGGAAAGAACCACAGGTCGGATTTATACGTACCCCCATCGCCCCTGTTGAGGGCTCAGGCCTCCTTACCTGGGTTGTGCACGTTAACCACTGCACCACCGAAGCACGGCCTCTGTTACTGTTACTGTGTGGAAGGACACCTCTGTTCCTTTGCTCCAAAGAAACCTAAAAGCTTGTCATGAAAAAAAAAGGTGTCAGCACCAACCCTAAACAAATAAAGTACTTTGTCTGTAACAGCAAAAGTCTTCATTTTTGATATATTAGTGAAAGTAATTCAGTTATCTACAATAAAGCTTACATTAACTGCTTTGATAATAGTAAAATAATAATAATAATAAACGGATAGCTATTACTTACCTTGAAAAGTATTTTAGTTTAAGAAACATGTACCATTTTGTAATGAAATTTATTCTCATATTTTTTATTTAACTATATTACATCATGGACTGATTGATTGAAAACCAACTAAACAGTCAGTAGTAGATCAATTTCTTGCCATTCGAAACTGAATATAAGTGCAGATATGTAAGTTAGAGGCAGATGAGTCTAAACAGGAACAATATATTATCATGTCTGTGGTTGTATAATGACTTTACCATAAATGAGAGCAGTTAATTTGTTATAAAACAAACCAGTGAGGAAAAAATAAACATTATGTTAATAATTTCCTAAAAAAAAAACATTTGTTTTTTCATTTTGTTTTTCTTTGCTGTTACTATTCTTTGGAAATGGGTGCCACTGTATGCAGGAGTTAAATAATGAAACATTGTCTTTCGCCACAGTGTATGGGGTCACTGCTTTAATTCTATTAGATGTATATGATTAAAAAACAGACAGAAAAAACGGGGTAAATCATTGAAGGAATTAAAAGGAAGAGTAAAAACCTTTTTTTAGTCACAGTTTCATTGACTCTGTGTGATAAAGAAAGCAGTTTGAATGTGGGATATTTACTGTTAACACAAGGCAGGCCAGGGAACACAAGGAAGCACATTTTGCTTTTTGCCATAAAATGAAAAAAAAGCGTCTTAAAACATCTTTTATTGACAAGACTCCTTCATTGCACATAATTAGCATTTATATTTTAATGAAATGAATCCTATAAGATGGAGCCATTTTTTGGATCTTATAGAACTCTGAATTAATGTGAATATTTGTTGGCTGTAGGAAAAAAGACCTGCAATTGTTTTGCTGCCCATAAAGAGATCTCTATTTTTTTGTATATTCAGTGTTTTGTAGTTAGATTATATGGACACAAGGGCAGGGGGGGATTTACAATTGGGCAATACTAGGCAGTTGCCTAGGGCCCCAAGTTCCTGGGGGCCCCATAAAACTCTGTTTACATGTATGGTTAATTATGGTGACCAGATTTGGGTTTCTGAAAAGGAGAACACTTTTTTTTGGGCAAGGCTGCTGGGCCGCTGACTGAACCGAACCGGCCTTTTAAACCCAGCCATCAGCTCCAGGGCTGGTCCAAACCCGACCCAGTGACGGTATGCTTCCCCTGGCAGGCATTGGGGTAGCACGGTAAGGCAGGAGGGGGGAAGCAGGGAGCCGCTGTTGTCCAGGCTACCATCACCTTGTCGGGTTTGGTCACTCCGCCCCCCGCTGGCTCCCTGCACTGGACCAGCCCCGGATCTCATGGCTCAATTCTTTCCTAGAGCTGTTGTTGCCCTGAACGCCTCACGTACAATGTAACAACTGTAACTATCAATAATGCTACCTCACGTGCAATAACCTGTACCTGCTACCTCAGGAGAGCCCGCAGTATCCCTTTTTAAACTTTTTTCGTATTTATTTAATTTTATTTTTTATTTTATATTTTTAAATTTGCACTGATTGCTTGTACTGTGTTTTTCTTTTTCTTTTTCGAGTAATTTTGTTGCACCCCTGTGGAGCAATGACAATAAAGAATTCTGATTCTGATTCTATAGTCGACCCCCAGGACATTTTCTTAGGTATGAAAAGTAGGACATGTCCAGGAAAAAGAGGACATCTGGTCACCCTAGGTTGATACAACTATTCCTTATTTGTGCCCATTATGTTTTTGATAAAAATCCTTTCGCCAAAATGCCATCAGAACGCTTATAATGTTAAGTGTGTATCAAATGAAAATGGAGAACAGATAAGCAGATCATGGCTTGTCTACAGTGAAAAGAAGGACTGGGTTAGTTACTTTTGCCGTCGCCTGTTGCAATCAGCTAAGTGAGCTTAGCTACTGGAAAAAATCTTTCGTTCCTTTTGAGCCAGCATGAAGTTTTCTGATGACTCAGCAATTGTTGGCTGCATTGAAAAGGGTGAGGAGAGTGAATACAGGACTGTGGTGGGCAACTTTGTCACTTGGAGTGAGCTGAACCACCTGCAGCTCAATGTGACAAAGACCAAGGAGCTAATAGTGGTTCTGAGGAGGACAAAAACAACTGTGACCCCTGTTTCCATCCAGGGGGTTCCTGTTGACACTGTGGAGGAGTATAAGTACCTGGGAGTGTACTTTAACAATAAGTTAGACTGGACTAGAAACAACAAGGCGGTCTGCAAAAAGGGCCAAAGCCGACTATTCTTTCTGAGGAGGCTGAGGTCCTTTAACATCTGTGGGACGATGCTGAGGATGTTTTGAGTCAGTTGTTGCTAGCATGCTCTTTGCTGTCACATGCTGGGGCCGTGGGCTGAGGGTCGCTGACAACAACAGACTGAACAAACTGATCAAGAGGGTCGGTGATGTTGTGGGGGAGCAGCTGGACACCCTGACCACCGTGGCAGAGGAGGATGCCGTCCAGGCTTCAGTCCATCTTAGACAATGACTCACATCTTCTCCATGACACACTGGTCCAGCAGACGAGCTCCTTCAGCAGAAGACTCCTCCTACCCAGATGCACCACAGAGCGCCACAGGAAATCATTCCTACCTGTGGTCATCAATCTCTATAACGCCTCCCTCAAGTGATTCAGACCCCCCCCCCCCGTAATTGACATTTATGCACTATTTTTGCACGCCACGTATCACTTTACTTGGATTTATCACTTTACTTGGATTTATCACTTTACTTGGATTTATCACTTTACTTGGATTTATCACTTTACTTGGATTTTCACTTCATTTGGATTTAGTTTTTACATATGCATAAATATATGTACATATATATATATATATATATATATATATATATATATATATATATATATATATATATATATATATATATATATATATATATATATATATATATATATATATATATATATATACAGAAGAGCTATATGTGTATATATTTTATCTCTTTTTATTCTTATTTTTTTTCATCTTTATTATATTGTATAGTTGGATGTGTGTATATATTATATAAAACTGTAACTGGAGTGTGTAACAAAAGAAATTTCCCTCTGGGATTATTAAAGTATTTCTGATTCTGAAAAGTCAGCTGAGTACAAAACAGAGAGGAAAATAGCGACAAAAGGGACAAGAGGAGAGGGACAAAACCATGTCAATTCTATTAACATTTCTGTAGTTGTATAATAGGTATATTTTATGTGTTGTCTTCTCAATTCAGAGGGCCCCCTGCCTGCCTAGGGCCCTCAATTTCCTAAATCCGCCCCTGCACAAGAGAGCTAATAAACCAGAAGCTAGAAAATCAGAAGGAAAATTTTATAATAATTCTTGCCTTTTTGAGGTACAACTGTAAGGGGAGGCTGAGCGCACCTCCACAGTGGCGGACAGACATCTAATGTATTTTTGGATAGCTCTGTCGTCTGGCCTTCATGCAGCTGCTTTAACACACAAACAGCAGAACAAGGTTCCGAGAATGGAGAACTAATTAAATGATATTGCAAATCAGGAAATTGAGTTTTAATTTTAATTTTTTATTTTTTTGGACCTTTCAAGTTAAGTTAAAAACCTCAAACCCAGTTGAAGAAAGAACATATCTGCAAAGAGGAATGAGCTGCATTAAATCAAATATTATAGTAAAATAAATGATATTTAAAGAGTACAAATTTACATGTAAATATTCATTTTAATGTTTACCAGAGTTCAACCTTCCAGTCCCCTTCCTGCTATTTTACTGGTCTTCCCCTAGGGGGCGCACCCCCCACTTTAGCACAGCATACCTATAATATCTGCTTGTTTATATCCTCAAAGCACCAATCTTTACCTGCTCTGACGTCATTATACTAATTTTTACTCTGAAAAAGATTCACTCTGGAGCATTGCACAAAAGTTTTTGGATACACTTAGTTGCTGCAGGATATTGCAGTACAAGTCTTGAAGAGATAAAACCCTAAAATACGTTATGATGGAATTAGAAGATGTTCTGAGAGCAGTTCTGCAGAGATGCTTTTATTTGGGTATTAGAAGTGTTGGAAAGATCTGGTACCTACACCATGATAGAACTACCAATACTGAATCTCATCAATAAAAGAACAAACAAAAACATATGAAGCTGTGTTCATTATCATACAAAGTACAGTGAAGAAATACATTATTTTTGTTAAACTCCATGAACCAAGTTGTGGTTAAATGTTCTGTCATGCAAAGGAATGTGGGCAGCTGTATATCTCCTATGTGGAAAAGGAATAAGGAAAGTCTGGAGGTCTCTATGCTAAATGATATATATCGATAGAAAGTATCCTACCTCATCGTTCTACCTGCTTCCTTTCAACCAGCACTATTCAGACAGCGCTGATCATCGGGACCGCTGATTTGTATAAT